AACAAATCTATATATGTGTATATATATATATATATCATTTAGTCTTGCTGTACCAGATTAAACCACATAATTAAAAAAAATATTAATTAATTATTTTTGAATATATATTAAAAATATGTTTCATTCTAAATATATAATTAGTTAAATTATTTATCTGTACCAACTTTTTAAAATAACCAATACATATATTAGGTATTACTTATTTAATGATTAAAATAATTTTTTTCAATTATAATATTTTAATTATATGAGAAAACAATCGGAATTACATCAATTATATAAATATGTTTAATTATTATATTTTAATAATATTTCTAGTATTATTTAATTAATAAATATTTTAATTCATATGATATTTTTATCTATTTTTATATATTTTCATTTACTATATTATAATTAATACTACTTTAATTTATATAGGAGAAAGAACTTTATGAAAATAACGACGTACATATTCAACAAACATAATTTTTACTGATTTTTATTATTTACATATTGTGGAAATGTATGTTTCTAACAAGTTCCATTAATTGAATATAACTATTTTGTTTCTCAGACATTAAACCTCAAAGAAACAATGATTTCTCATCACAGAATTGATGATAGAATTCGGATTGGATGTTGGGCAAAAAATCTTAAGCTCTTTCGAAAACGAGAATGAATACACAAGAAAATTCGGATTGGATGTGACCAAAGTCACCGATCTCTACCAAATGAGCATCATCTCATCTTGTACTACAAAATCTATCATCTAAAATGCTAGTGAAAAACCAAAATTGGATTCTGTGGGAAAAGCAAAAGACAAGAAGAGTGACTTAAGGAAGCAAGAGTTACCACATAATTATGCAGCATCTACATATCTTATGGTTCTTTTTGGCAAAATCACTAGAACAGGCTGCCTTTCAGGTTTCCACCAGTAAGCAGATTGTAAAATCGATCTCCCTCCCCACAACTACTATTTGCAGTTTTTTTAAGAGGAGGATCTGTCACATCTTTACTCCTTGGTAGACTTCTTTTTACCGAGACAAATGCCACTTTCCTTGTGCAAGATTGGATTTTTGCACCACCTGAGCTTGCGTCTAACCTTGATGGTTCAACTATGGGGAGGTTCTTGCCGGGTGTACCTGTAATACTCAAACCATCTTCTCCTCTCGAGAATACTTCTACGTGCGTTTGTTTGTCAGCATCAAGAGAGAAGCCCACCGAAGAATCCACCTTATTTTCCTTGCTGCAACTTGAAACTTCTTTAGCAGTAACAACTACATCTGCCTTATTGTTGCTGTCTTCACCGTCTACACAATGAAGTTTGAATGAGAATTGCCAAATTACCAAGAATAATTTTTTATAAAAGTGTATCAACCAGATCTCCAAAGTGATGGATATCGAGAATATGATGTGCTCGTTATACCCGTTGTAGATAAAAATGGAGTAGTAAAGGTAGAACCATATTCAGAACAACCACAATGGACAAACATCTTGATTATAAGCAGCAGCGATGTCACATTTAGTAATGCTTATATTGCTAATGAAGAAGAATCAACCTCATGATACCAAAATAAATAAATCAAATCAGAAGGAAAAGATTTCACTCAAAAAAAAAAGATCAACAGGAAAATTGCTTTTTAGGAATAAGCAACACAAAGTATGGCCAATAGAATGTTGAAGCTGCTCTTACCCCCAAGGAAAGACTCCAGACTATTGTACTGTACAGAAGAATCTCTCACTGAAGCATCTTGGCCATCTCCCTCTGGATCTCTAATCTCACTCTTATTTGTCCTCTCAAGTAAGACAAACTTATCTATCCTCCACTCACACTCTAAGGTCACAAACCCTTCGATTTCAGGATAGAACTCCCTATAAACCTGATCATTTTGAAGAAAAAAGAGGTTACTGATTACAAGCATAAAGGCATCACATCCAAAGTTTTTGATTTGAAACTTGAGGGATCAGAGGTTAACCTCAATTCCTCCCTGAGTTATTTTCATAGATTGCTTCTTTTGGCAGGTAGAAGAAACTCTGTTAAAAATTGAAACAGCATCAAGTAATATCTGCAGGAGGAAAAAAAAGAGATTCAAATTATTGGAACCTACATTTCAAACACTGAATAACTAAAATAAATATAGGTAATTTAAATTATGGCACTGTATCACTAATGCCTAAGCAAAGTTGCATTTAAAAGTTTGGAATATCTAACTCATCAAATATCTAGCTCTGCATTATCTCTTGTACAATCTACCTGTAGTAGCTGTATCCAAAGGTCGACACTATGTAATGAGAAGGCCGTATGAAGATGAAAATGAGACAAGGAACAGTGGATCCAAGCCACTAACCGTCTACAAGACGAAAACAGCTGGCAGGATACGTGGCAAGAATATCCAAAAGAACGGCACGAGGCAATAATCAGGAAGAGGGTAATAAATCAGGCAACAGGGCCTCAATCAAGAAGGAAAGCAGTAACATGGCAGAGTCTGGTGAACAGGCTATGTGACTTCAATGGGAATAAACAAAAGGAGTAACCTGTCAAGATCTGACAGAACCATGGAAAATTAAAGTTACAGGAAACTTCTCGATTATGGTTAGTTCATCCAGAGGTCACAGCAGCTGGGGTTTCTGTTTTTCATTCTATCCAGTGTAACGAATTCTGTTAAAGAAATTGCAGCACATTCAGTGAAATGTCTCGATTTTCGTAGGTTATAAATATATCTGGAAGAAGGCTTTTTTTTATGGTAGGAAAATATTGAATACAGCCTTATAATTCTCTCAATCTCAGTCTCAATCTTTCTGTTACTTGTATTAGTCGTCGAGTACATGTCAAAGCTTCCTAACACCGTAGTGGTTAGCCAACTATACCATTGTGCTTTTACAACACCAATTCAACTTGCTTTACAAACAGAACTTTTTTACAATTAACAAACATGAAGAGGGGTGCTGAACTTACTTGTTGAACCAAAACTCGAAGACGTGCAAGCAGAGCCAAAACCAGAACAGAAAATCCCATAAAATGTGAACGAGCAAGCAAAGTAGCTACCTCGCTATAGAATAGTCAAGGGTGAAAATTCATGAGAGACAATCTTAATGATCAAATATGATTTGCAGTAAAGAACCACAAAATAAACCACCATACTTCTCAAAATATCTGCTTATGGAGATGACAATTGTAAACAACACATTCATATGATTAATAAAATTACCATTTGATATTTTTTTCAAACCTATTTATGGTATCAGAGCTACAGCATACAAACTATAATACACATTAAATATAAGAGTATACTGTCCCTTTAGATTATACATACCAATTCACAAGTCACTTTAACAGTCAAAGTAAACAATTCAAGCAACATTTTCTCAAATTCAAAAGAAAAAAAAGACCCATCACCTACAATTATGAACAAGACATTAAGATGCAGAAATACATATGTGAAATCCAGAATATACCTAGCAGCCTTCAACATGGGCTCAACCATCTGCAACAACAGCGAAGAATTTATGGTTACTAGAATTATTAAAGGGTTACTAGAATTATAAAAGGGTAGAAAAAAAGTACTTAAATCCAGGTTACCAAACTAGTGAATAAACATATAACTGTATGAAGAAAGGTGGTACTTATGACACCTTTCTTTTTTTTTTCTTTTATTTCAAAAAACAAATGAAAAAAATGGTACTTATGACACTTAATACAATAAAGACTTCCATAAAACCTATACAGTTGGAATAATAACATAATGCATGAGAATAGTACTTGTGATTTGAAAAGCTAGAACTACTAATAGGAGAAGAGAAAATTTATACCTGTGATAGTAACCGTGCAGCTCCTAAAAGACGCTCCATAAAGTTAGGTTGTCCACCATCGGTTTTTCTCCACTTCAAGCTGCAAAAAAAAAAAAAAATTCTCACTCCTGAATTCAAGAATGTTTCTTGTACAAAGTACATAATTTAGGATTCGAAAACAGGAAGAGTGCAAATGTAGTGAAGACTGAAATCTGACCATTGCAAGAACATCCAAGATTGGAACCTAACAATAAGCTTCCCTCTTTGCTCCCACAAAAAGAGGAAGCGAACAAGCAGCAAAAAATAATATAAATCTTCTCAGAAAGGTCAAACTTAAATCATTCAATCCTGTATTAATGCTACATAAGATCTTAAACGCCTAGAAGTTTAACTACTCTCATTTTCTAAGTAACAGTTAAAAGATCAACACCATAAAACTCAAATTTTGAAGGTTGCATATTCCAAACTCCATATAAATTTCACAAATACACAAATTTACCCAACACACCATAACTAATTTAAAAGCAACTCCAAATGAATCTGAGAGATGTGATCTCAATTTGGGGTATAATAACTCCATCTGGACAAAAAACATCACAAAACTTATTTCCCTTGAAGAAACTATCAATACAAGTCATGGTCTTTGACATCTGCATGTTCCTCAAATTTCTAGGTTAAATTAAGTAGCAAATACTGCAGCTCCTTGGATTTAAACAAAAAAATAAAAATATATAACAAATATATAATAAGCATTGCTTTCCATCAAATAAATTTGGCGTAACTATATGTTTAGTTACTCTTGTTTCACCAAATAATCAGATAAGCACTTCAATTTGCAGGTGCATGCAAGAAACCATTAGAGATCGAAGAAACTATCAATGTAAGTCATGCTCTTTAACATCCTCATGTTCCACAAATGCTGCAGCTCCTAGGATTTAAACTCAAAAAATAAAAATAAATAAAAATATATAACAAGCATTGGTTTCCATCAAATAAATTTGGATAATGACTTATATGTAGTTACTCTTATTTCAAAGAATAATCAGATAACCAGTCACAAATTTGCATGTGCATATGCGAGGAACTTTTAGAGATTTCCTTTAACAGGAAGGGTTAGCAAACTGATACTAGATGACATACAGAGTACCGAGATCGCTCAAGCTCCCTGATTTTAATTTCAACACGTATGGTAACTTGATAACAAGACAGAAATGTGAAGTAGAAATGCTTGTATAATCAAGTTTTTTTTTTTTAAATGAAAGGTACATACCAAGTACTTTTGATTCATAGGCACCAAGGGAATGTCAACCGGTGTAAAAATTATTTATATATTAACCAAGATATTGATAAGGTTCCCAAAATCCTCCATTTAATAGAGACGATGACCCAAAACTAAAAAAACCTAGAGTGTGAAACCATTTAGTCCTAACCCTATCAAAATCCTTATCTACCCCCCTCAAAAGCTTTTCTATTTCTTTCTTTCCATACCATCCAAAATATAGTGAATGGAATGAGGTCCATATGTTTCTTCCCACCACTAATACCCCTCCAAACCCAGATCTCATCCCTTACAGACTTAGTCATCACCCAATTGATCCCAACAACCCATAAACCATCGTTGATAACTTGTATGCAACCGGACACCATAGTAGTCTTTTAATAACAATAGAAAGTATTTATCTATGTAAAGATTTGAATTTCCTTCTTCTAAATTTGAACTTTCTCCCAAAAAAGGGGTAAATTTTCGATACCTAATTAATTCTCACATGAAAGATTAACGATACACTTCTTTTATGGTGAAACTTCAAGTGAGACTTATTATAGTCTTCCTAGTCAATCTAAAGGAACTTGACCTCATTCATATAAAGAATTAGGCTCAAATTTCATTCAGTCTAAGCCACCACATATAAGGATCAGAAAACAACATGTACCTTTCTAAAAGATGCACCATATGTTTAGGTCTCCTTCCAGTTATAACTTCAAAGCAGGAAGTAAATACCCCCTCCAAGTCAGCTGATTGCAAAAGTCTCAAATCCCTTCTCACCTAAGACCACAAGAAATTGTTATAGAAAACACAAGCCAAGCAAGAATATATATAAATTTATAACTAAACCTCATAAAACCAATTCTGATACCCAATATTATTTCCTTTCCTTTCTGTTCCATAAAAAATGAAAAACTCACAGGACGGATAGTTTCTACTCCTACCTCCTTTAATTGAAATTCAATTATTTACTTACGCATCGACTGGTACAAGAACAAAATAACTTCTCTATAACAGACCACTTTTTTCTTGAATTTCTATGGCAAGCCAAGAACACAGAGAGAGAGAGAGAGAGAGAGAGAGAGAAGAGTAGAAAAGATGAATGATTACCTTTAGGAGATACTGAAAATACGAGCATCTTCTGTGCTGGTTCTTGTTCTTGTAGACAATTCTCTCAAAAATAGCACATTCTATTTGGAGCTGACTCAGTAGAGTCTTCAGTCTCTCCTCTAGAGATTCGATGTCTGCTTCCATAAATAGTGGTGTTCTTATCCTGCAATGACAAGCAAACATTTTCTTTTCAATGAAATTCAATCTACTAAAATAAGATGCCAAAAAAAATTCAATCTCAAAGTTAATAGTATTAACCTTAGTGTTGCAACCCCCAAAAAATAAACTTATATAATTCAAATTAAAGAAAAAGAGTAATCATTGATCTTGTTAGAAGCAAATCAGGCACTAAAGTAGTCTCTAGTCATTTTTAGAGAAATTTGGATTTGGGAAATGGTTCACCCATCCCAGGTGGCATGGGCTCGATTTTAGCTAAAAAGTTTCTACTAAATACCTATTAAAAGCACATCAAAAAGTTATAATAACAGGTATCATGTGGATCAGTGTATCAAGCCTTAGACCTATTGAAGCATACCTATCCTAACAGCTTGTTTTCATGCTTCTAGACCCTTCAAAACAGTGCCCAGTTTAGTCTGGCTAGCAAACTAAGAGCCCCCTTTTGCTTTTTTTTTTTTAACCTCCAAACATTATCAAGCGAAGGGAACCAGGACAGTGAAACCAGAGCAGGGGCAGTGACGATTGCCAAACTAACATAGAAACTGATTATGTAGTTCATCTCTCATTAGTGCATCGGGACAAAAAGGGAGCATGCCATGGGAACTGATTACATGAGACTAGAACTTAGGGGCCAGCAGCAGCCTTGTTGCTACCAACCTAAAACACTCATGGCAAAGTACCCAAAAGACACAATGATATAAAAGAAAAAAGGAAACCAAGAAGGCTTTTCTTAGGATTTTTCTTAAACAGGTGAAGGTACACACGGTGGATATTCCAACAAGACCATTTACAAACACACTTCAAAGTACCAGAATTACAATAAACTTCAAAAGCTAATTATATCAGCTGCAAGTAAACATGACCAGAGCAACCAATTTTCACGCAAGTTTAAGCACTAAACAGAAAACTGAATCTTACCCTTCACAGCTGATTTTAGCATATGGATTAACCAGTTCCTCAAGCAGGTCAAGGCGTTCATACAAATGTTTAAATACATTATCCACAAGTTAAATAATCCATAAAATTCTAGTAAACCATCAAACATAAGCCAAAATAAACCATCATTCAGACCTTACTCATAATAGTTGTTGCAACCCCCGAGGATTAAAAAGTTATTTCAATTTTTTTTTCTTTCAAATTTTATTGTTTTTACTTCAAAATTAGAACTGAGAATAATCACTGATCCTATTAGAAATGGGATTTGACACTAAATTATTAGTAGTCTTGAAACAGAATTCCAGGTCCAAATGGTACTAGGCAGGAAGGTGTTAGGCAGTCATCTGGTGATATATAGATTAAATGAACTGCCTTGCTATTTATAAAAAATAAAAATAAATAAATAAATAAAAAAGAACAGGAAAAAAAAATAAATTGAAAAGAAAGACTAATGAAATAACCTAAGACCCGAACTAAATGAGTTAAACTTAAAACAATGATAATTCACGCAGAAAGATTTGTTACAACTGAAAATTATCTTATTTTAGGTTTTAAATATTTAGCAAAGAAGATTGCTCAAAACAGTCCATATTTTGCTCTTTTTTTTAATTCTAAACCAAAAGCCAATCGCCCTTTCCTATAAAACACTAAATCATCAACCTAATAAAGGAAACAGCCCAATTCTTTTCTATATTCAAGAACCCTATATCATGGTAAATGCAGCATTGTAAGGATGGTCCAGTTAAGCAATGTCCAAGCACCTTTTTTCATTAGCATATAGCCGCTATCTTGGACAAAATGGTTCCTATTGAAAACAAAAATAGTGACTGTAAGCTTTCCATTCTGCAAGTAAAGATGCCCAAATCATTCCAAGGCACCAGTAGCTAAAGCAAATATACAATACCATGAAGACATAAAATTCCAAGAAGGCCATAAGTATATAGCCATTAACCTTGCTTTTCAATAACCCATATGGTGCTTGCACTTCTTACCAAAAAAGCCGTACCTCATGATTATTAACAAACAATGTGCCCATATCGTATGCTCTAATCTTTTGGTTCTCACATCACTAAATTGTAATTAAACCCAACAATACAAGTGTGCTTCCAAAAAACTTGTGAACCATCTTCCAAGAATCACTAAACTATTACAACATCTACTTCCATTGGAAGATTCTTTGAAAACCCAAATATAATATTATTTAACAAAATAAAACAAAAGAAAAATTTACCCAAAGAGTTAAATAACCTGCACCGTATCGAACTCAACCTATCTTTCTAACTTCTACTTAATTCGCAAAATTTTCAACAAGCACGAAAAGATAGATATCCAAATTGTTTTCACTATAGTCACTTCTTGCTTCTCTTTCAGCAATCAAATGAAAATACATATCATCTACTTATCTTGTCCAACCAGAACAAACTCAATAAAAACCTCAATTCAACAAAAATTAAGCAAGAACGATTACGCAAAAATTAAGCAAGAAGTGTTAACGGGGGAAAGTTACCTAATGCGTTTCCGGAAAGCAACCCGGTTTCAAATCTCTTGTTCTTGCTCTGCTGCCACCGCACTCACTCACTGATTTACCTCCTCGATTTTCCTTCTGTTGCTTCGTCGCCAGAACCCCCTTTTTACTCTCAACTTTCTCCTCCCACGTCGCTTCTTTGTTCTTCTTTTTTATTTCTTCTTTTGTTTCTGCTTCTCTCGGTCTCCACTCAGTCGGCCCCTCTAGAATCGCCGTCCTTTCTCTCAATCCCTTCCAGATCGCCTTCGTTCTCTCTCTCTCTCCTCTTCTATATTTCCTCCCTCAACCTCGTCCTCGGCCCCGATTTTCCCTCTAACCAGTCCTGCAGAAGAAGTGTCGGCTTCTTGAAAGCTCCTTCTTTTAATCGCCCCTTTATCAGCCTTCACGCGTGCCTCGTCTTTTTCTCTTCCTCAGTCCTCTCTTTCACCGCTCTTTGTCGCTTCCCAGCAGCTTTTTCTCTCTCTTCATGCGTCTTCTTATCCTGGCTATGATCGTCTCTGTAGACTCTGCGTTTGTTGCAGCTCTCTCGCTTTTCTTTTATAGTTTGTGAAGCAGGAAGGAGAAGTCCAAGAATCTCCAGAACGACGCCGTTTGGATGAAGAAAACCTCTTGGGGTTTTGTGTAAGGGTTATATTTAGGCTTAAGAGTTTTTTTTTTAATGAGACTCTAGAATGCAGTTTTTTTAAATAATAATAATAAATAAATAAATAATTGAGACTCTTTTTTTCTTAAATTCGTAATTTTATTTTTTAATTTATTTAAATTTAAAATAAAAAAAAAATTCAATAAAATTAAATATAACACTTAATAGAATTTTGTCTTATTCGATGTTAATGCCTATCTAATTAATTAATTTTAATTTTAAACAAAATTTGATTATTATATTAATCTCAAATCTCTAATAAATTTTGTGAACATCATGATATAATAGAACTCATAAAATTTTAAATATATAGAAAAGAAATAATGAAAAAATAAGTAATTCGTTGATACCATCACTTAAATAAAATTATAAATCGAATCTCAATATACTATAAATGTAAGAGATTGAATAGTTCTCAAAATAATTTACACTTATTAAATTGGTCAATTAATTCAACATATCATGAAGGAAGAAAACTCATAGATTGTGTTCAAATGATATGAGTCCAATTCGAAGTCTATTGTAGAGCTTGAAACCTCGACGCGTAAGAACTCAAATGTATTACACCATTCATTTTCGTCTTTCTTACGTTTATGGGTCTACAAAATAGTAATCGAATAATCCATACTTTGATTAAAGAAGTAATATATTTGATTTGCTTAATTTTTTTTGAAAAACTTTTATTTTAGTGATATAGGTGAACTAATACTATTAAATATTAGATAAACCTTAATTACAAACTAAGTCAATCATTATGTAAAGAGCTTGTATGTAAATGTTGGTGAGTGCAAGCTTGACCAAATGATTCATTGTGTTGTGTTTTCATGCACATATATACATCCCAAAGAAATAAACAATAAGTTTGTGAGCAATTTTTCTGAAATTCTTGAACATTGTTGACGAGATTTATACACTGAGACAAAATAAAAGAATTTTACAAAAAAGTTGACGAGAACTAATCGATGAAACAATTAAATTTCATAAGTTAAATAGCAGAATAATCATACAACAAAAAAAATAATATTACCTATACAAATAAAATCAAATACAAAAAATATCTTTATCATCAAGATATAAACTACTTAGATTACATAACCCAATAACCCAAAAAAAAAAAAAAAAAAAAGAGTGTAAAATTTTCATAATATTCAATTCTAAATGACTTTGAAAAGTTTGAAATCTTTTTCCTCATAAAACAAAAGTGCTCATGAAATTTACTGTTTCATTGTATTGAGAGTCAATTTTAAGCAATTTTTTTGCTTTGTCAATTTACATAAATTTATAAGGTTTTAAGTAATTATAACAAATTTTTAAGATTTTAAGTGATTATCTGTAAAATTTAACAAAGCTATCCTCGAATTCCAATAGTGGTTTGAATTAATTTCCTTTTAAATCTATATAAATGCGCAAAACACAAAGGTTTGTACCTCTTAATATATGGGAATGAATCATACCATAGTGCTTTTATTTAAAAAAGATTTACAGTCTTTCCTTTCATGAGATTGATTTTGGTTATCTTTACATTTTCTGTACAATTAGAGAGTTCAATCTAAAACCTGAAACCAGAAAATTTTGATTATCTTGAAGTTTGTCAACTCTCTGTATCACTAAGCTTTCAATTTAATCTAATAGATATAGAGTCAAATAGTTGAAGAAATAATGACAACTGAGCATAATCACTGTGCAATCAATGTCCACTCACCATCAACCAAGGCAACTCCTCTAATTTAGTGCTCATACCATTGAAAATAAAGGGTTTTGCTTTATAATCCAAAAAACAACAAATAGAAGAAAATACTGTTTGGTTCCACAAGACTTGTACAAACAAGAAAGCAACCAGCATACAAATTTAAACATATAACCATTACCAAAAATGGGGTTAGAGAAAGGATGAAGAGACCAAACAATGTCAATTGTAATTTTGAGTATTGACTATTTCGGAACTAATTAATTACTAGCACAAACAGGTTTAGAAGAAAAAAAAAAAAAAGAAAGGATGATACGAGGTACAATATTCTGATGCGTTAACCCAAAATTGCGATTTCTGAATCATCAAGTTAATGGAAGGAAAAATGAATTATACTCCGGGCAAAAGAACTCTAAATTCTCAGGTTTAAATGATTAAGTGAAAGGAGACTGCATAAATATATGACAATTGACCAGCAATGGCTTTGACTTGCAAAGCCAATGTTGAACACTCACAGGAATGATTTCTTATGTATTCATCCGTTTGGTTCTCCAGAAAATACGTAAGAGTTTCACACGTACGGTCAACTATACAAAATCCTATCATCATCATCATCGTTGCCAGAAACGTTTTTGGCTCCTCTGTTCTTGCATTCGTCTGTACCATAATTTGTCAAATCAAAAAGTAATCCAGCTTGCATGCCATCAGTAACTTGTGTTTTTTGTTCCTATTACAGATTATAATATAATTAACCAGAGACGAACTCATACCTTTGATACTCCTTGGAACGCTCGAGGAACTCCTTTGCAATATCATTTCTTTCATAAGATGATAGAACAGTTCTTATATCAGCTGGACTATTCCGTGCAACAACTGCATAAACCATTAATTAAGAAAAGTTTAAAGAAGAAAACAGAAACCTAAGTAGAAGATTCCAGGAAAATTTGCAGGATAATCACATTCAAGAAATGGAATAAGATCCAAAAGTGCTGTATCATCTGACTCGAGCTTATATGGCTTAATCGGAACACAGTTTTCTGGCTGAAGGGTGCTATCAAAGGCATGCCCACTCACATAAAGGACCTTTGCTGGATCTCTATTGAGCTTTGACAGATCCTATCAAAAGAAGACCATCTTAATGAGGTTGCTACTACAAACAAAGGAGATATGTAACTAACAAAAGCGAGTAAAAGAAGCTATTGGTATGAAAAATACTTGTGGGACAGAAGCTTGTGCATAAATTAATAGAAAAACAACTAAGAAAACAGATGACTAGCATAGCAAGCTCCATTCCTTGTCAACAGGGAAATGAAAGTGGAAACAGTTTACAGAATACACAGCAGTTCCATACCCTATAGTGTTTGCCATTGACGTAATTGGTAGCACCCCTTGCTAGCCGATACCGTATATAATGATTTGGATCCAACCTATCACACACTGGAACGACATACTGGCCCAAAGAGTAAAAAGAAAAGAATGTTGATAACATAACCCATTACTGAAGTTCAACCAAAAAAATCTAAATTAAAAAATGTAAATCACCATTTCCATTTGGTCTGAGTACACAATAATTTCGTAGAACTTGGCAAGATGTTCCAAAAAGATGTCAACCCCCGGTCGTTTGAACGTCTTCCAACCTCTGTCACGCTTTACATGCCAGCAAAGGAAGAAATGGGTAAATCATGATACACCAATAATCTTCAACAGTTAATATCTATGCATACAGAAGTATGAGCTGTGCTGTGCATATCAATAAAGCCATCCAAGAAAACGGAGATCAATCAACATAATATAATGGTCCCTCTAAAAAAAAAACTGATCAGATGCATTACGTATGGTTCTTCTGTCCAATAACTGAATAATGTGCAGCGGATGCAATACATACACATAATGTATAATCCAGTTACTAATACAATATCGTTGAAGCAAGCAAACCAATTCACTAGATTTTTAGCGAAATTCTTTGGCTCAAAATGTATATTAATTTATTTTAATGATTAGTTGGTTACTAGACACCATGGAACTGAACAAAACTGCTTTGAAGGTAGTATTTCTATTAGAAAGACGCATGTACAGAGGCATAAAAACAGTAACTACGAAAAATGATTTTCCGATTTTCCATATCATAATTTGCTAAGCACATGCCATAATGATACTAACCAGTTTACGGCCTCTAAAGATGTTTTTGACAGACAACATTTTGGTAGTAATAATTAGATTGATTATTATTACTTCAGATTAATTAGGATTTAATATACATACTTAAATATTTTTAGTTGTCTAATGAAATCAAATCTCAAATGTGATGCTTAAGAACCAATTTATTAAGTGTAATGTCTAAAAGAACCTAGATCTGATATCTAGGTTTTCTTCAAAATGCTAAAGAGGAAAATTAATTCCTAATTTGACCTAAATCATTTTTTCTCGTCAAATTCTCACCTTCCAATCAGAATAAAGTAGTGTCTCATTTAGATCTAGAACCAGTGTGAATACATGTTGCTCCGCCGGATGCAAGTCTGGGAGAAGCTTGTCTGAGGTT